TCTCATACTTCGGACATATTGTCAGGAGGGAGCGGTCACTGGAGAAAAATATCATGTTTGGTTAGGTGGAAGGTCAGAGAAAAAGAGGAAGACCTCCAATGAGATGGATTGGCCAAGTGGCAGCATTGATGGACTCAAGCGTGGCAACAGTAGTGAGGTTGGCCCAGGATCGGGCAATGTTTTGCTCTGCTGTGCGTAAGGTCGCTATGAGTTGGTACCGAGACTCAATGGCACCTAACAACAACAACAGTAATTAGGATAGATCTTGAAATGTTCTTTTTGGTAATAAATGTGACACCATTCCTTTTCAACTTGCCATTTCTAGCATAGCAGACCATGGTGGTGATGGTGTGCTGTGGAGCTGGTTCTGACTCATAGCGACCCTGTATAGGGTTTCTGAGGCTGTAGATCTTTACAGGAGCAGAAATCTTCATTTTTCTCCCACGGAATGGCTGGTAGTTTTGAACTGCTGACCTTGAGGTTAGCAGCCCAACTCGTAACCACTACACTACGAGAACTTCTACCATATGATTGTCTAATTCAAAATGGCCATTACCAGTTCCTTTTTTGCTCAATAACGCCAAGGATATCTATCTTCAAGTGTTAACACTTCATTTTTGACAACTTTCAATTTTCCTAAATTCATACTTTATACATTCCACATTCTGATTACTAATGGCTGTTTGCAGCTGTTTCTTTTCATTTTGAGTCATGCCATATCAGCAAATGAAGGTCCAAAAAACTTTACTTCATCCACATCATTAAAATTGACTCTACTTTGAGGAAGCAGCTCTTCCCCTGTTGTATTCTGAGTGAAAGGGTTGGAAGGCAGTATATCAGACAATATTCCACGGCTATTCATAAGGTTTTCACTGTTCAAGTTGTTTCAGAAGTAAAGTGCTAGGTCCTTCCTAGTCTATGTTAGTCTGGAAGCTCCGCTAAAACCTGTTCCCCTGGTATTTGAAATAGCAGTAGCATAACTTTGAGTATCACAGAAACGTGTAAGCCACCACAGTATGGCAAACAGACAAACGAATGATGAGTAAATAATAAGATGAAGCATGTAATAAATTGGGCATGATGCCTTCCCCTGTAAACGGAAAGATTAATTACTTTCACAAAAGGGTAACAATAAATTTAACTATTATCCAAAGCGAAGTCTCTTAAACAGACACAAAAAAGAACCCAGTGCCAAGGTAGACCATAGTGGCTGTGTCGCTCAAATCCGTCCCTCCCTTAAACCTAGGCTGAGCATACCTGAGAAAAATAGCCATGGGGCCTCTTATGGATCCCAAGTAGCTGCTTCCCTACTTCCAACTCAAACAAGTCACAGTTCCAACTTCTTGCCCTTACACGTCCATTGACTTCATTCAAACAGGCCGCGTACATTAGCACCCAATCAGAACTTTCATTCTTTGGTCGCCGCCCAATGACCGCATGCAGTGGGAAACAGGGGCGGGGCGTGAAGCCCAATCGTAGCGCCATTACACTTGAGGGCAAAGGGGTTAGGAAGCCGGCATGGCGTTCAGGTCAATAAAATCGATAGCTGGAAACCGCCTGTGTTCCAGGCAAAGGCGGTGCAGTAGTAGCGCCGCCATTTTCCCCGAAGGCATCTTCCGGTGCCTTTCACCCACGTTCGGGCAGGAGTTTCCTGGATAACAGCAAAAGGTTTCCGTTAGCCCTGCAGGCGACCGATTCCATCACCTCCAGGCCTTCCGGCCAAGCTCGTCTCTGGCCCGGCGGAGACTTAAATTCCGGAATTCACCAGGGCCCAGGGGCCGAGACCCGGACGAGGGAGGCCGTGGCACCGGCTTCGCGGGTCCAATGGCGCCGCCTTCAGCCCCTCTCTCCGCGCGGGGACCTGGAGAAGCCAGGACTGGCGGGCGGAGGGGAAGGAGGCCGAGGGCCGTGCGGTTCGCGGACGTGGCCGTGTACTTCTCTCCCGAGGAGTGGGGGTGTCTGCGGCCCACGCAGAGGGCCCTGTACCGGGACGTGATGCGGGAGATCTACGGCCACCTGGGCGCGCTAGGTGAGGCCCGGCCCAATCCGCTTCCGCGGGACGGAAGGAATGAAGGAGCCTGGGGGCGGGGGAGAGGGCTGGGAGTCTAGGGTGCCGGCGAACGACCAGGTTGGTTCAGGAGAGGGGAACAAGGGCGCAGCAGGAGATGCCACCGGGTTGGCTTTTACTTAGCGTTATCTATGAGCTGGCCCTCAGACTGGTTCTTCTCCAGGGTGTGCAGGTCCCAAACCAGCCCTCATCTCCTGGTTGGAACGAAACGCTGATGACTGGGAACCGGCAGCCCTGGATCCGCAGAAGTGCCCGAGAGGGATAACAGTCCAGAGAAGTGAGTGAAAAATGTCCATGGAGACCCTGAAGTCTTCTTTTAACAACTTGGTTCAGAATTTTGGTCCGCCCAGGAGTACCCAGGACTGTGTTGTGGTGCTGCATTTACTGGGCTTATTTTCACCACCTCGGAATCTTCTTTCTCTGATGGTGGGGTTGGACTACCAAGCGGAACCAAGTTTAACGGTGTCAGTTTGCAAACTAACCACCTGCAGTTCTGCAGTACGTGAATCAGTCAGCTCTTTAAAGGGGCCAGCCTCCTTCCCAAGATCCCTGCACCCCACCCTCCATTATACGGGCATTTTAACTCACAGAGTCTGCTTCACTTGAGTTTTTCTGGATTTAGATTGAAGGGAGCTGATGGCGAGCTTCTGAGGGTGCAGGATGACCCTGCATTCTCCGTAAAACGCGGATTCTGGTAAAAGAGCCCAGATCCACCTACAGGGGCAGATGGAACTGTTTAGGCTGGAATTTCTTTGTCAGAATCTTTTAAGACTAATTTCTGATCATGTTATTTCCTCACTTATAACTTTTCAGTTCTTGCTAAGGCAGGTTCTCAAATGGCTACCAATTACATTTAAATCACTTGGCAAGCTTGATTAGAATACAGATTCCTAAACCCCACTCCAGAACTATTGATTCACTCTGTGTGTGTCTAGAAACTTTGGTGTGTGTTTTAATAGGTCCATATGGTTTGGATGTGTTGTCTTGGTTTGAAAACTATTAGATAAAAGATCCTAACAAATGCTTACAATACTGGTTCTCAAGAGTATGGTCTTCAGACCAGCAGCAGCAGCTGCTGGGAACTTGTCAGAAGTGCACATTCCTGGGTCCCACAGGATGAATCCCAAACCTGAGAGTAGGACCAAGCAATCTGTTTTAACAAGCCCTCCAAATGTTTCTGATCACAATAAAATTTCAGACCCATTGGTTCTCAAGGCCTTCCATGCTCAGTCACTGCCAAGCCCATCCCTCTTTTGTATCCATTTCTTGTCTTATACTTTCTCAGTATCTTAAGACTCTTATAGTACCCTCCACACACTGAGGTTTGGGATTTTTTCATGCTGTCTCCTCTGCTGGGTCAGATGTTTCCACCTTTTTAACTTTCATTAGGAGTGCTGATAGCACAGTGGACAACTAGCCGCAAGGCTGGAGGTTCAAATGTAAGGGAAAAGGATGAGATTGTCTGGTCCCATAAAGCTTTACAGTCTCAGAAACCCTACTCTGTCCTCTAGGGTAGCTCTGAGACAGAGTGGGCTCGATGGCAGTGGGTTTGGTTTGATTTTGGAGCCCTCCGTTATGCTAATTCAACCTTGAAAAGTCAGGTAAATAAACTCTGGCTCATCCACAGGCCATTGTAAAGTAAGGACATGTGCTGACATAAAGATCGCCAGCATTTAGTAAGTGAAAAATTGCATGTGCTGTATGTATGTGCTGTCTTTTATGTAAGAAAGGTTGGGGAAGAAAACATGTATTTAAATTTTCATGAAACACTGGAAGACACAAATTAATAGAGTTTCTATAGAGTAGATTGGGAGAAATACGAGGCTTTCTGCTCAGATTTGCAGCCTTGGAGACTATATAGGGTTGCTATGAGTTGGAACCGACTCGACAGCACTTAACAACAACTATGGAGTAGATGGGTACAAGACTTCTCTGTTTCTTTTTAAAACATTTTGTATTTTGAACCATGTACACTTCTTACCTCAACAAAGACTTTTCATTTTAATAACGTCAGCTTAATCTCTTTCCAAGGAACCCTGGTGATGGAATGGGTTAAGCATTGGGCTGCAGAGTTGGTGGTCTAAACCCATCAGCTGTTCCACAGGAGAAAGATGAGGCTGTCTGTTCCCATAAACATTTATAGTTTTGAAAGTCCTAAGGAGCAGTTTTACTGTGCCTGTAGGGACAACTCAATGGCAGTGGATTTGGTTTGGTTTTGATAACTTCTTCCAAAACACCTCTGACTTCCCAGGCTGTATTAGGGCCTCCTGTAAAGCCCATCTGTAGTACTGTGTCACACAACAGTTGTGAAGATGGTGCACAAGTGGGCAGTGTTTCATTCTGTTATGTATGCATAGGGTCTCTATGAGATGGAACCAACCCAATAGCACCTAACAGTATCATCAACAACAGTGTCACACTTGGAATCTTGGTGTGGTGCTGTAGGATAGGCACTAGACTGCTAACCAAAAGGTCAGCAGTTCAAATCCACTAGTCGCTCCTTGGAACCTAGATAGGGTTGCTATGAGTCAGAACTTAACTCGACAGCACTTAACAACAAACCACCACCACCAACAGCGTCACACTTAGCTGTGTATGCTGCTAACACTGAGCTGAGTCTGTCTCAGTACGGAGCCACCTCAGCATATAGGTCTGTAATAGCCCAGAGTAGAAATCCAGTGGTGTTAAATTAATTTCTCCCCGTGTCTCTATAGAAACCAGGACCAGAAAGAAGAATGAGGAGAAGGAAGTATTCCCACCTAAGGAGGCCCCTCGAAAGGGGAAGCGAGGGCGCCGGCCCAGCAAGCCCCGACTAATCCCCAGGCAGACATCTGGGGGTCCCATCTGCCCTGACTGTGGCTGCACCTTCCCAGATCACCCAGCCCTGGAGAGCCACAAGTGTGCCCAGAATCTGAAAAAGCCTTATCCTTGCCCTGACTGTGGGCGCCGCTTTTCCTACCCATCATTGCTGGTCAGTCACCGGCGAGCACACTCTGGTGAGTGTCCCTATGTTTGTGACCAGTGTGGCAAACGTTTCTCCCAGCGCAAGAACCTCTCCCAACACCAGGTGATCCACACGGGGGAGAAACCCTACCACTGCCCTGACTGTGGCCGCTGCTTCCGGAGGAGCCGCTCCCTGGCCAATCACCGAACCACGCACACAGGTGAGAAACCCCACCAATGTTCGAACTGTGGCCGTCGCTTCGCCTACCCCTCTCTGCTAGCCATCCACCAGCGTACACACACAGGAGAGAAGCCCTACACCTGCCTGGAATGTAATCGCCGCTTCCGCCAGCGCACTGCCCTGGTCATCCACCAGCGCATCCACACTGGAGAGAAGCCCTACCCCTGTCCTGACTGTGAGCGCCGTTTCTCCTCATCTTCCCGCCTGGTCAGTCACCGGCGGGTGCACTCTGGGGAGCGCCCCTATGCCTGCGAGCACTGTGAGGCCCGCTTCTCCCAGCGCAGTACGTTGCTCCAGCACCAGCTCTTGCACACGGGAGAGAAGCCCTACCCCTGCCCAGACTGCGGACGTGCCTTCCGGCGGAGCGGCTCTCTGGCCATCCACCGCAGCACACACACAGAGGAGAAGCTGTACGCTTGTGATGACTGTGGCCGCCGCTTCGCTTACCCCTCGCTACTGGCCAGTCACCAGCGGGTGCACTCAGGCGAACGGCCCTATGCCTGTGACCTCTGCTCTAAGCGCTTTGCCCAGTGGAGCCACTTGGCGCAGCACCAGCTACTGCACACGGGGGAGAAGCCTTTTCCTTGCCTTGAGTGTGGCCGTTGCTTCCGTCAGAGATGGTCTCTGGCTGTCCACAAGTGTAACCCCAAGGCCCCAAACTGTAGTCCTCGATCTACTATAGAGGGGCCTAGCCAGAAGGGCAACACCCTTTAGAGTGGGCAGGCTGGTCTAAAGGATTCCAAATCCTCCATTTCATGGAAGACCTCAAAAAAAAGGTTAAGAGGAGCCCTGGTCATACAGCACAGAGTCAATGAAAACCCGGGTGTCCTGCTACATACACAAGGATTCTAAGTATATTCCACCTGCTGGCTGCCTTACTGTGTCTGGAACAGTGACATCATTCATTTCAAGTTTTGCAAACTACCCTGTGCTAAAATACTTTCTGTGTATGGGCATCAGGGCTGGAAGTGCTCTCCACCTATTATAGAGGCTGACTACTTTTCTAGATTGTGAGAATCCCATTTACAGGGGACCGGACCTTCCCCTCCTCTGCCTCCTTCTTCATATCAAGGTGGAATGAACTGGTTTAGTTCCCGTGTTATAGCACTCCTGCCAACTAGTCTTGCTTGAAAACCTCTCTTGATAGGGAGCTAATTACCTCACAAAGCAGGTCATTTCATTGAGGGATAGCTCAGATCTTCAGTGGGCTGTTGAGTACTGCCTTTTCCCTCCCTGTAAGCCTTACCCAAGGATATACTGAGTTCTTCAGCTAGATGGTTAGCTCTTCAGATAACTGCCCCCACTAATTTGGTCAATAATTCTTTAAAGACAGCTTCAGTTCCCATGTGCTCTCTCTCTCAACATTTTTTTTTTTTCCCAGTGTTCCTTTTAAAAGACCATACGGGAATAAGCCAGTGCTTAGTGGTTAGGAATCGGGCTGTGAACCGCAAGGTCAGCAGTTCGAAACTACCAGCTGTTCCGCGGGAGAAAGATGAGGCTTTCTGCTCCTGTAAAGATTTACAGCCTCGGAAACCTTGTACAGGGTCGCTATGAGTCGGAACCGACTCCACAGCACATAACCAACTAACCAAATATTGTATGTACACTGTTCTCTTCCTTGGCCCGTATTTTGTTAACATCCTGGATTGCATTGGATTTGGGGGCAGCTGCACTACACCATGGGTTTATGGGATGCAGATAGCTAAATGCTCTTAAAAAGGAAAAAAAAGTTTTGTTTTTTTTTAAAATTAGCCACGTGCTCTGAAGTTAAGTCTTCTGTATCCTGTGCTTCGGCAGTTGGTTCACATCAGGTATAGGCTGTAAGCTTTGGGAGAAGGTTGATTTCAAGGAAAAGTACGGAAGCTATGATCTAGCAGCCAGAAGAATGGAACCTGTTTGCTATACTTCATCTTGTGTCCCTGGATTTGTTCCAGGCCACCAGTGGTTGGAGAAATCCTTGAGAACTGGGTCTTAATCTTCCCTGATTCTTATCAGAATAAGGAGAACTAGTATAGAATGTTCCATCAGGTTTCAGTCAGCATTACTTTTCATAAAATGAGATGAGGTAGGTCAAGGAGTGTGGGAAAGAAGGTAATTGAAATCTATGAAGCAGAAAGAGTATGTTCATGCTTACCTCCTTCACATAAGCACTGGAGATACAGCAGTGTATTGTATTCGCCTCTATGGTGCCCACCTCTGAGAAGATGCTAAGTAAAATTTTACTGAATTAAATGTGAACAAGGCCTGCCACTTTTGCCTTGGGCAGCTGCACCAAATTGAAGTGTCTAAACATGACATTCTCCAGCAGCTGGAGTGGGTCAGCCTCCTACCCTTGCTGCTTCCTTCCTTCAGTTCTCTGTAGCTCAAGCCCAGAGCAGAGAAGCCCCTGGGGAGCACTTAACATTACCTCTGGTCTGGCCTTTAGCACGTTGTATTGTAACTTTCTCCTTGGTGGATGAGCTACCCAGGGCAGGGACCATACCAGATTGGGTCTCATTAAAGTGTCTGATGAATGAATTATGTTCTTGTGGAATTACTGTTGCTTACAAAAATGAAAGTCTGCTTTCTTGACTGAGTAGGAAATTTCACCATTCTGACTGAGATCTGTCCTGACAGCAGAGACCTATTGAAAATGTTTTAGAACGGACTCCTTTCTCTATCTTTTATCACCAGCTTGGCCCAGCTATGCCCTTGCTTCAGAATCCCTTATATGTAATGCACTTCCTCATATCTGTGCCTGGATTCTATCTACTTCTGCCTCCTTGGGAACTTTGCGCCATTTGTTATTATTTTCTCTCTTCTTTTAATTCATTGATCTCGGAGTCCCCCTTTTGTGCCCAACACACACACTCCAGCTTCTAAACATGCTAAAATCTGTCACAAAAAAACAGCATTCCCATTGTTCTCTGTCCCTATCTCCTATTTTCAGTTACTTTTCTTGAAGGAATATCCTGCACTCACCCTACCCACTTCTCCATCGGGTTTCTTGGCTTGTTGTGTGCCATCAGGTTGACTCCAACTCACTGTGACCCTATTTGTCGTTAGGTGCCATCGAGTCGGTACCAACCCATAGCGACCTTATGCACAGCAGAACAAAACACAGTCTGATCCTGGGCCAACCTCACTACTGTTGCTATGTGTGAGTCCATCGATGCTGCTACTTGGCCAATCTATCTCGTTGGAGGTCTTCCTCTTTTTCTCTGACCCTCCACCTTACCAAACATGATATCCTCCAGTGACTGGTCCCTCCTGACAATATGTCTGAAGTATGAGACACGAAGTTTGGCCATCTTGACCTCCAAGGAACACTCTGGCTGCACTTCTTCCAAAATGGATCTATTGGTTCTTTTGGAGGCCAGAGTAAAACTGCCCCATAGGGTTTCCTAGGCTGTAATCGTTGAAGGAAAAGATCACCAGGTCTTGCACAGAAGTACTGGTTAACTTTTGGTTAGTAGTGGAACACGTCATCATTGTGCTGCCAGGGCTCCTCTCTGTGGACCTACTGCAATATTACCAATAATGTCCACTGTCTACTGGACATTTGAATTCCTGGTGTGGCACTGTAGGATAAGCACTGGACTTCTGACTGCAAGGTTGGTGGTTCTAATCCACCAGTCACTCCTTGGAAACTTTATACAGGGTTGCTGTGAGTCAGACTGACAACAACAACAACTGAACATTTATGATAATGCCAGAATACATGTAAAGCACTTTATATACATTTCAATCTACTTTAAAAAAAATTGTGGTCAAATATATATAACAAAATTAGCCATGTTAATTTTTGAGGATACAATTCAGTGTCATGAATTAGATTTACGGTGTTATGTGGCCATCATCACTATTTGTTTCATTACCCCAAACAGAAAGACTGTATCCCATTGCCCCAGCTCTAAGCTCATGATAACCACTAAGCTAGTTTCTGCCTTTGTCTACTGACATTTTGTTTAGTATCCCATACATTGTTATTTTTGTGTGTCTAGCTACTGATTGGTTTTCAAGGTTCATCCGTGTATCCAATCTAATTTTTACAAGAGCCCTATATAGTAGATGTTAGGAGATACTCCTCCATGGGTATCTCATATTACTGAGTATGCAAAAAAGGTAAGACTCTAGCCATTCTTAACCCAGGCCATTTCTCACGATTATGTTTGCAGCAAGCAGCCTGGGAGGATGATGCTATGGCTCCCTGCAGGCCAAAGAGACGTTTGCCTACTGTTTACTAAAGAACAGCAGATTTCCCAATTTCTGTGTTCCTCTTCTGTACTTCAACTTACTGTGCCTAGCCTCTATTTGGGCCCCTCCATGTTGCCTCTTTGGAACTTAAGGAGGAAAAGACACCAAGAATGCATACTGCTTGCTGTGCTATGAGGAATAAGGTGTAAGTAGGGTGAACTCAAATTCCAGACGCCAGCCATAAAGCCGTGTTGTTGAGTCATTAATTCCCACTCATAATGGACCTGTAGGAAAGGCTAGAACTGCCCAAAGGGCTTCCAAGGCTGTAAGCTTTATGGAAGCAAATTGCCACATCCTTCTTCAAAGAGCTGCTGGTGGGTTTGAACCGCCGACCTTTTGGTTAGTAGCAGAGCACTGAACCACTGTGTTACCAGGGCGCCTTCCAGACCCTATAGTAGCTATTGTTTCCATTTTAAAATGAGAAGACTGAGGATCAGTAATATTAAATAACTTGTCCAGGATTGCTATCTGTCCATTATAAAGGCCAGATTTCAAGCCAGGTCTTACTCCAAAGTCAGTACTACCAAAGTCTGATGTACTACTACACTGAAACTGCCTTCAAGGTGACTTATGAACTACATACCAAATCAAGACTTCAGTTATTTTCTTAATTTGTTTTTTTGTTGTTGTTGTTATGGTTGAGAATATATATATCACAGACTTGTAACACCACCAATTTCTCCCTTCACAAGTCAGTAACTGTGATCATATTCTTCAAGTTGTGGACCTATTCTCACCCTTTGTTTCCAAGTTGGCCCTCTCCCCCTGACTACACTCATTGTCCTCTAAGCTTCCTAGCTGTTGGGGTGCTCTTGTCATTTTGATCTCATCTATATAGTTCCACGGCACATAGCAACAACAACAACATATAGTTCTTTAAAAAAAGCACAATTCTCAAGGTGGAAATGCTCTACTTATAATTAAGCTAAACTTGTTCAGTTTAAAGAATCTTAAGGGAATATTTTTGGTTTAAAGTTTAAAGCTTATTTCAGGGAAATAGCTTTGAGATTTATCTAAGTTATTTAGTACGGGCTATAAAAGAAATACCACAAGTGGATGCCTTCAATCAACGAATTTATTCTCTCAGTGTAGGAGGCTAGAAGTCCAAATTCAGAGGGCCGGCTCTTGGGGAAGGCATCCGTTCTTTGTCGACTCTGGAGAAAGCCCTTGTCTCCTTTCAGCATCTATAGACCCAGCATTCCTTGGAGATCTTCATGTGTCTTGGCATGAATCTTTCCCTAGATCTAGGAGCTTTAAAGGACTCCTGGTGTGGATCTGTAGGATCAGCACTGGGCTGCGAACCACAAGGTCAGAAGTTCAAAAGTGTAGAGGACGGGTTTCTAAGGATATACCCTTTGGTCGGAAGATGATGCATGGAGGGGATTGGAACCATGGCAAAGAAATGATATACGATGGAATGAATGTAAAACTAAAGTTCTCTCATGTAAACTATCATATAATTCACAATAAAACATTACAAACAAAAACAAAAAACCCCTATGCAGAGTTCACTATGAGTCAGAACTGACTCGGAGGCATTTAACAACAAGGAGCTTCACAGGACAAGGACCCCAGATCCAAAGGATGGACTCCACTCGTGGCTTTTCTTTTTTTGGTGGTAGCAGGTTCCTCTTTTTCTACTCACTTCTCTCTTTTTTTTAATATCTCAGAAGAGATTAATTCAAGATACAATGTAATCCTGTTAATCGCATCTGACTTTATTAACATCATAGAAGTGAGAATTTACAACACAAAGGATAATGACATCAGATTAGA